CCCTTGCCCAGATACCTTGATGGTCTCCTAGTGGGTTTATCTGCCACTCATCTTGCCACCTGAGTCTGATCCCTTCTCTGCTCTGCATTCATAAAGACCTTCCAGTAAGGCCAGTCTGATACTGTTAGAGTATCATCAAACCTAACACGTTCAATGGCTTCTTCCCTTTGCCTTTGAGATAACACACAATACTGCATACAGATCATAAAAGCTCCAAGATTTGGCCCCAGACCACTTCCTGGGTTCACCTGGTGGTCCCTTAGCCAACCTTTGCTCTAACCCCATGATATAAACTGAGCTCCATTTAAAGATCTGGGGACAGACCCTGCTCTCAGTCCTTGGCCTTTCACACACACTGCTTCTTTAGCCTGGGAATTTCTCCCCTCTTTATTGTGCAATTCCTACCCATTCTCCAGGTTTCAGATAACCATCAGTTCTTTGCAGAAATCACTGCCGACCTCTAGTGCAGGTTATGTCTCTTGTGCCCTCCCCATTACTCCTTGCACATCTGCTCTCATGACATTAATCTTTTATGATAATGACTTGTGTGGCTGGGAAATTAATTGTTTACAACCATGGATGCCTTTGAAGAGGTTGGGTCTTACTCAGATGCAAGGCCCTTTGGTTCTGAGGAGTGTCTCAACGGATTTGGGTAATTAAAAGCAGCTGAAGCTGAGCTGGACTTAGGGCCTGGAAAGATTGTAAGTGTTCTGCCAGAAAAAGAAAAAAATAATTAGAGAAGTTTGTTTTGCTTTTTTCCTTGACACTTAAGTGAGCACTCACTATGTGTCAGGCTTGGTCTAAGTACTCACTTAACTTTCAAAATGACATTCTCACAGAGCCACTATCTTTACCCCCATCTCATAATAATAAGGAAATGACATCTTCCCCAAGGTTTCACAGGTAATGAGTGACATCCCTGGAATATGTTCTGAGAGGGAAGAGGCGCAGGAGAAAGAGCAGTGACACAGGAAACAGGCAGGAGAGCAACCCTTAGAGCTGTACATTAGAGCTGGGGGCAGGGGGCAGGAGGACGCTGTTGAGATGCCATGCCCAGGGGCTATGTTTTAAGAATTGGGACTTCCAATCTTTCAACTTTGAGCTGGTTTACTTAGTCTTTAACAATTCGTATTAAGTGGGTGCTATATGCTAGGCACAGGTCTAGGATAGGGCATTGGGAGGTGGGGGAGGGGAATTTACTCATAAGCTGAAAATGAAGCAGAAAACTGGAGAAAGCAAGGGGATGAGTTGCATCTACCAGAGGAAGGACGATCCAGTCAGAGGGAATAACAGATGCAAAGACCCTGAGGAGGGAGGCTGTTTGGTGCTGCTGAGGAACCTTCCAGAAGCTACTGTGTCTGGAGCAGGACAAGGAGGGCAAGAGCACTGGAGATGGGGTCAGCAAAGGAGTTAGGACCAGGGAGTGCCTGTGGGGTTTTGCACAGAGGGAGATGGGAAAGTGTTTGGAGGGTTTTGAGCAGAGCTGAGACTTACCCAAGTAGTATTTTAAGAGGATTGCTCTGGTACCACGTGAAGAATGGCCGCTGCAGGCAAGTGGGAGGCCAGCTGGGAGGCTGTCACCGTGACCTAGATGAGGATGATACTGATTTGGAGGTGGTGAGAGGTGGTCAGACTCTAGATATATTTGGAAAGCAGAGTTGTCAGGTTTGCTGCAATGTATTTCTTCTTCTCTCAAAACTTACACTGAGTCTTGCTTGCTCACCGAGGCAGAGCTAGGAGTAGGGAGTGTGTATGTGTGTGTGCGTTCAAATGAAGGAAGAGGGCTCCATCTCATGTCTAGTGAAATGTGACACAAAACAGAAACAATACATTCCAGGCTGTGAAGGATTTCCTAAACTGAACTTTTAATAATTCAGCACAAGGAGGTGCTCAGTGCCAGACATGGAAGAAAAATGTAAATTCCTTGGGAATTCCACACTCTAGGGGAGGATTTTGGACTTTTCCAAACACTGAGAATGGGATTTGAGAAATTCTTAAATGGCAGAATGACCCCAACCAAAATCTAGGTAAGACTGCTTTTTCTTCCAGCTTCCCCACTAGACTTCATGAGGACATGGATTTGGTTTGTGTGGTCATTCTGTTCCTAGTGAGGCACACAGAAGATGCTCAATAACTATTTCCTGGAGAAAGAGAATGAATAATTCTCTTGTCTCGGAGAGACTAATGTTGTTCCATAGTCCCTGCCCACGCTAGAAGTCCGGAGTGAGAAGAAGAACTAGAACCCAAAACCCTTGACTTTTCCTTAAGAAGTGCAAATCAGCAGACCAAATGTGGAAGTCAGTATTCAGGTGAATATTTTCCAATCATCACTGTCATTAGCAGCAGTGGCAGCACTGAGCACTTACTGCGTCCACACGACGTGAGAGGTATCTGTAGGGAAGAGGTATGCAAATAGAGGGACAGAAACTCCAGATAGGTGGCGGGAAGAGCCCCAGGCCATGTTGCAGCAAGACTTTGGGAGCATTTCCTAGTTTTTCCATTCTCTAGCTGAGTGCACTTGAGCAAGTATTTCACTCTCAAGTTGAAACTTTAAAGGACAAATGATTATAAAAATTGGGGATATTGAAATAATATCTCATGAAGATCTTATGAAGTTAAGTAAGATCGTGTTTATGAATATGCTTTAAAAACTTTAAAGCACAGTACAATACATATTATAGTTGAACTTACAACATCTTTGCTGAAGATGTTGGCATATAGAATAAGAGAATGCCCTCTGATTGTGCTAGGTGCTAGCATAAAGAATGAATTCTTTACGAGGGGCATAAAAGTGCTGATTTTTTTTTTTTATCCTGGGCAGCCCAATTGTACTGGTCCTTGTCATCTTGCTCCTGTGTTCTTCAGTATGTGATAGTGACAGGTAGGTGTCAGGCAGGACTGAAGAATTCGCTGTTCATTCTTAGTTCTCCTTGTGCTCCCTTCTGGACTTAAGGCACATTATGGAATTACTGTAAGCCAACGAGTCTCCATCTGCAAATGAGGGATAAAATTTGCCAGCTGTCTCCTAACCTCCCTGGGAGGAACTGGGGTTTAATAAGATGATGAACATCATTCTCTCCATATGCACTTTACACCCTTGGCTCCTGCGGTCTTCAAAAGGCTTTCCATAGGCACAAACGCAGATTCCCTAAAATCAAATTCAGGTGGTCAGAAGGCAAGCCACGCAGATTCATGCCAGTGACTATTCATCACAGATTAGTATTAATATCCATTAGTTAATGTTTTCTATTAGCAATTGTACAATTAATCAAGAACAATCTGTCACAAGACAGAGCCAGCTGTAGGTGGATAACTGGGATGGAGGTGGCTTGCCTTTGATGGCTGCAGCATCACCTATGCTTGTCTTTTCAAAGCTTCCCATCCCTTCTGCTACTTCTCTCTGACCATAAAATCAAATACCTGAATCCACATAAAGGTGTTGGGAAAGCACATCCGTACTTTCAGGGCACTAAGGAGCAGTCGCACTCTTAAAGAGGGTTGTAAGAAAAGGGCAACGTGTAAAATAAATAAAATCAAGGAGCCATTAATAATGATAATGAAAAGAATAATAGTAACAATGACAGTTCTCATTTATTGAGTGCCACCTGTGTAAGGCACTGTGAAGGATAAAGACTATCAGAAATGGTCCCACAATTTCAGAAGCTTCCATTTTTCTTGGGTTGGCAAAAGAATAAATCTACAAAAGTGAAATGACAACACTCCAAAAAAAAAAAAAAGTAACACAAAATTCAACACTCCAAAAAATAACACAAAATTCAAAGGAGAAGGGAATTTCACAAGAGTAAGTGAAGATACTGGCTCAGATGGGCTGGGTTTGAATTACAGTCCTACCTAGTCTATTAGCCTTGTTATCTGAGCCAAGTTATGTAACCTCTGTGTGCCATAGTTTTCTCATCTGTACAATGAAAGAAACGATGATTCTTATCGCATTGGGCCACTTGTGAGAGTTTTATGATATAGTAGAGGCCAAATGTTTAAAACTGTTCCTGGCACATAGGTAATCATAATGACAATACCAGTAATTATAATAATTATAATAATTATGAGGTATTATTAATTGCAAAACCTATCATTGAGACAATAAGCACAATGGCAGTTCAGAAGGCAGTCAACACTATCTCATGGAGAAGGGGAAATCTGAGTTGGAGATGACCTGTAAATGACCTTTAGAAAGGTGCAGAGCATTCCAGGTGGAGCCATGGGGTATGATGTGAGCGGAGAGCTAAAGGTGAAACAGAACAGGTTTAGGTCAGTTCGTCCAGAGCAGAGGACTTATGCAGAGTATGATACCCAGACACAAGACCAAAAAAGACATGTACCCTCAGTGTTAGATATTAGCACCTTAAGAAATGAATATGGTAAGGGTATGTGGGAGAATTGAAATGAGGAGGGATTGGTAACTGCAAGTGAAGTTAAGAAGAGAAATTTTAGGCATTGATGAGAAAGAAATTGTGGGTCCCAGGAAACCCCTTAAATCTGCTTATGCATAAAGTAGGTCCTTCCAGTAGGTTTTCTTCCCATTCTAAGAGCTCAAAGTGAAGGGGAATGCTAATGACCTCCCCAGAATGCAGAGCTAATGGTGTGCAAAGTTATAGGTAGAATTACTTAGTGGAAATGCTAAAAGAATTTCTAAGGGAAAAGTCACATAGCTGGTGCACATACTTGATGATAGTAAAAATGGGATGTGCATTACTTAAAATCAGATATGTCCTTCCTGAGCCACAGAGCTTTTTCCTTCATGTTAAGTTGTACATTTGCAGCTTGTCAGGACTTGCCTGCTATCTTTTGAATATTCAGCCATCAACCTTTAGGGTGGAATTAGTAGTACTTTAATTTCCTGATAACACCTAAATTAAGGTAAGAGTTCTAAATACTTTATTAATAATGTACACTCTAATTAATAGAAATTACTTTTCCAGCATGTATTATTAAAGGATGTGTTCCAACATGCCTTTTTATGTTTTCCAATTTACTTGCTTAGAAAACGGGTTGCTGTTTCCACATCTCACCCAAACTTACTCTTGATCAGCTCTGCACAATGTATGGAGGTAATCTTTTCCCTTTGGATTTGAGAAGAAAGCTTTCCTAATTTCTCCGTCTGGCTCTCTGTTAAAGTTTTTGTTGTTATTTTTGTTAAAATAAGGTCTTTCATAGATACGCTTGAGGTCAGACACTTTGGCCCTGAAGTTTTACTCTCCAAATGACTAGTTCTTTATACCTCAGCTTGCGGTTCTACATTTCTAAACATAATGTGGAAAACTGGAACTCTCAGGCTCAAATTTGAATCAAAAAAATCAGTAGGATGCCTGCCTGCTACTTTTTGTTTTCCTAGGTTTTAGAGTTCAACATTCCTGATAGAGCTTTTTTGATCTGGAATTGGCTCCAGTTCTAGTCTACCAGGAAGGTAAACTGAGGCAGTGACACTTATCTTCAGGGAAACACCACAGTAGCTTAAAAGCAGGGCTCTTCAGCCTGACTGCTGAGTTCACATCCAGATTTTGAACTTTCTCAATCTGGGTTGGTAACCAAAGTGCTTACCCTCTCTTTTCCTCATCTGTAAATAGCTATGTCCGTTCACTCAGCTACCGTGAAAATTTTAAGAGCCCACATGTGGGGAGAACTTAGATTAAGCTTAGCACACAGTAAGCACTCAACTGACCTTATTAATTCTTGCTTCTCCTGCCCCCTCCCCCTTTTTTTTAACTCTACCTCCAACTCAGAGGACCCATGTCCTAATGTTCACACTGAAGCCATGAAGGAGTCCCTGGTAATTCTTTCCAAGTCACTTTCCACTTAATACATGCCAAATGCATGCACGAGAACCTGTTGGGCTGCCAATAGTGGGTGGAACAGGGCTCAGGTTGCTGAGGAGAGTTGGGGAAGGGTTAAGCAAACAGGAACTCTCCAGTGCTTTCTGCCCTACGAGGTGGAGTGGTGAGAGACCACACTGAACTAACATCTGTTTTATCAATAGGCAATCTAGCTTTTAAACGTAGCTAACACCAAACTAGGGAGTCCGTAGTGTTATAGATACCACAGATCTGGCTTCAGTTCACTAAAATGTGGTTCCTTGATGCCTCCTTCTTTCTTGCCCCGGATTCAGACAATCAGCAAGTTCCAACTCTAGCAACTCTGGTCACTCTTCTAGTGAAGTGTGGGCTGTTGTAAAGCAGATTAGATTAGATGCATACTGTTATTCTGTTTTTTTTTTCTTAACCAGTAGTAAAGGCCTTTTTCTTTCAAAAAAAAAATGTTTTGAATTCCAGTGCAAAAGCTTGGCAGCGGCTCTCTGGTATCATGGGACTGAAGATGGATTTCTCTCAGGGGACCCGAAGAGGCCATCAGCGTAATTTATTTCTGTCTTGATGCTCAGTAATGGATGTGACCTTGTGTCTCACAAGGCTCTCTTAACACTCGTGGCCCTGGATAGGAAGAGTTAAACATCCCACTCCTCTGTAGAGAGCTGTGGATACCTTGACATTCAGAGGCACAGTTCCCAACCTAATCCTTTCTAAATCAGATTAGTCCCTCCCATCGCTGACAGTTCACTGACGAGTGCATTCCTCAAAGAGAATCTCATCTGAGATGCAGAGCACTGGCTGCAGTTTTATAGTATCAGAGTAGTAATTCATGCCCTGAGTAATAAAGAAACTCATTAAATGTAGAATCTCGGCTCTCGCTTTGTACTTAGACCTCCCAGCAGTTTAACTTATGCATAATGAGTCTAAATACTTTAAGGGATAATATAAAAATTATCTACTATTCTTTCATATCTAGAATTGTGCATTTGTTTCCCCTTCACTACATTGCTAACATAACTAGGAAACAATATATTACCCTAATTACATGTTATTTATTAGAAAGGAAGCAAATAAGTCATTTGGAGACAAATCCCTGTAGTTATTCATGGAACTGCTTTAGATGACAAAGATAGAGTAAAGCCAGCAGTCTTTCATTATATTTATTACACACTCTTTGTGCTAATGAACAATAACAGGCTTCACTGAAATAATGGTCTCAGCTCCAAGTTGTAGAGAATGCTATATGGGCCATATTTATCAAGGGCAAGTCAGGGCTTTGCTTGTCCTTTGTGTCTTTGCTTTCCATTGAAGGAAGAGGGTGGAAGACAAACAAAACTAGCTTGGGAGATTTTAATAAACACAATGGAGGCTAGTTAGCATACTAAAAAAAAAGGTCTTCTTGCAACCTTCAGTAGCAATTCACTCATGAAAGAAGAGATCACTTGTTGTCACTTATGAATCCTGAGTAGAGTCTTCATTCTCTACCTCTGGGAAACATGAATACACACACACAAATAAGTCTTCTTAAAAATTTGAAAGTTTGAGTAAAAAGTTTCTAAGATTTCCTTAAGATATTTTAAATATTTATTACTGAGCTCATAAATTGGGACAAGAAACTAATATAATTTTTTGCTTTATAGTGGAAAACAAAGACGTGTTTTAGAAATTACAAACTCAAAGAACATGGGGATTTTCTATTAACTTAGTGTCATAGGAGTTAGAATAAAGTTAGAAAATTATCTCAGGGGAAGAACTTTCAGCAACACTAGGCACAAGTGAAACCAATTTCCTCTACATGTCTTGTATTTTTAGTGTGGCTCCCGCTGCATGCATCTTTGGGAGAAGCAAATCTTCAGCGTGAAGACAAAGGGTGAACCATTTTGCACACATGTTTTCAAAAAAGCTGTCCAAAGTTGTGGTGGCTGCAAGAGGTAAAACATTTTTATTTCTCTTCTTTGGGAATAATTGAGCCAATATGCTAGCACTTAGAAGCATTGCCTTGTGGATAGTACCAGAACTGTATTTGGGGATTAAACCACAGATAACAAAGGAGTGCAGAAAAATCTAGGAGGGAAGGAAGCCAAGAAAGTCAGCTGGGACTGTCTCTTCTTTTGAATTAGCAGTTACCCTTCAGTTGCTTTTTATTCAAACTTGTATGTAGTTTCTCTTCAGAGCAGTTTAGTGCACTCTTTCCTGCACAGGAATATATAGCAGGATTTCCCATCCCAGATCAGAGCGCTGGTGCATGTCGCTGGTATGCTAACATTGGCAACCTTCCAATACTGAGGCATCAGCAAGGCAAACCAACAACAAAGCATGTTGCCAATTACGCTAGGCTGTGAACTGGGGTATGCTTGTGGCTGATGCAGGCAGGGTGGGGTGGGTGGGGTAGGGAGGAGACCAGGGGGTAGGGATGAACAGTTTAGGGCTAGGTACAAAACTCTGCAGGAGAACTCTCTTACTCATTCTTCCTCTAAATCCCTTCTAAGCTTCTCACTAAGATCAAATAAAAATAAGTTTGTTAAATGTATATTTTGCAAAACCTATCTCTGAGTTGACAGCAATGGAAGGAAGCAAACTCAGGCTAGCTCTGTAAATCCTATTAGAACAGTAAATCCTGCTACATCTTTTTCATGTCTCTCCTCTCTGGTCCCTGGGTAACACATTCTGAAGTCTTGTGAGGTGAGCTACAAGGAACAAAGGTGACGTGCCACCTAGTTTGCTTGGGAGTCCTGTTCACACCTGTAGTCCTGGAGGCATTATTAATAGCAACACCTGTTTATTCTCAAAAGTGTTCTAGTTTGGACAATCAAGTCTCTGGTTGCCCTAGTGATAACCCAGAACACAACCTCAGGCAGTTGAGCGTACAAGGGAATTTCCTAATGATGTTTAAGGCTCTTAGAAATATCCATCCCTACGCTGTAACATTATGGGACATTTTAAACAAATCTCTCATGTTTGACTTATTCTGATGCACTGCTTTTATGGGGGGGGGGAATTATAAGAATACAACTTTCAAAAAGATTAGGAACTAACCAGGTCAGAACTGGAAGACCGGCCCACATGTGACAGGTGGGAAAAACTAACCCGATCTTGGTTGCTTTCCCTTCACTCTACAATTTTGACTTTTGAGCAATGTCAAGGATACATTTGAGATCACAGGTCCATAACAGAGCAAATGGATTCAGCTCTTGCTGTGTCCTTTGCTTTTCTTAGAGGCGCATCTGAGGTGTTTGTCTTAGCAGCTAGCACAAAGAGAGGGAGCCACAAGGGCAAAGATTCTCAGAACTCTGGACTTGCTCAAGAGCTTTATCTGCTTTAAGGCTAGTTGAAGGGAAGTGTACATTGGCTACATCTCTTCATCCTAACACCTATGTTCTTTTTTTTTTTTTTTTAATTATTATTTTTTTTAATTTCAGCATATTATGGGGGTACGGATTTTAAGGTTTCACTAAATGCCCATTTCCCCCCCTCACCCACAAGTCTGAGTCTCCAGCATGACCATCCCCCAGATGGTGCACATCTCACTCATTATATATGTATATACCCACCCCTCCCCCCTCCCCCCTGCCCAATACCCTATTACTGTAGTACTTATGTGACCACTTAGGTGCTGTTTAGTTAATACCAATTTCCTGGTGAGTATATGTGGTGTATATTTCCATTCTTGGGAAATTTCACTTAATAGTATGGGTTCCAGCTATAACCAGGAAAATATAAGATGTGCTATATCACCTTCTTTCTTAGAGCTAAATAGTATTCCATGGTATACATATACCACATTTTATTAATCCATTCTTGCATTGATGGGCACTTGGGCTGTTTCCACAGCCTTGCTATTATGAATTGTGCTGCTATAAACATTCAAGTGCAGGTGTCTTTTTTGTAGAGTGTCATGGAGAAGAATTAGATTGTTGGTGGCAACTGCACCCCAGCTGGCCTTTGGTTCCCCGCCGTCCTGAATACGATCGCCAGTCCTTTAAACTTTTAGTTATATCATCCTGGAGGTTAATTGTTTCCTGAGACGAGCATTACGTTTCTTACATTTTATTTGAGAGATATGATAGGTATAATAGTACTCTATTTTTTTTTCTTTTTGTGTCTGTTTGGGTTGTATTTGTGCTTATTTCCTCTTGATGCCCTTGATTATCTGTCCTTATTTTGTTTTATATTCGTGATTTTTATTTATGGGGTGTTGGTTCTCTTGCTGCATTTAATCATGTTTGGTAGTATTTCTTTGTTATGTCTTTTGTTTGTTGTCTTTGGGAATTCCTGAGATTGCTTGTCTAGAATGTCTTAATTCTCCCTTCATCATATGAACTAGTTGCCAAGGGAATAGATTCTAGGGTGGCATTGTTTGTTCAGAAGAGTAGAAGGGCCCCAGTCTCTCCCTTGCTTGTAAAGTCTCATTAGAAAGTCGTTGTTATCGAATTGGCTTTCCTTGATGTTCACTTGCCTTGCTTCATTCGTCTTACAGCCTAGAAGGGCCCTTCAGTTGATATTTGGTTATGTCTGATGACTGCATGTCGTATTCTTCCTTTTCCATTGAATCTCCCAGGTCCTCTGAGGTTCTTGACTTGTATATCGAGCATTCTTGAGCAGCCTGGAAATTCCTCTATTATGATCTCAAATAGCTGTCCAACCCTTGATGTTTGTTGAGGTCTTTCCCCTTCTGGTACCCTATGACCCTCACATTGGGTTTCTTCACATAATCCCACATCTCTTGTAGGCTTGCCTTTTCTCTTACTCTATCCTGTGACGGTTTATTTAGTTGAGAGGTTATCTCCAAGCGTCTGAGATTTCTTTCTTCTGTTTGATCTACCCCTGTTCTGAGACTTCCACTGTGTTGTTGTAGTTCCATGAATTGATTCTTTCAATTTCCCAGGAGTTCTTAAACTTTTTCTTCATGTTCTGTTCTTAGGAACTTTTGTTCATTTCTGGAGCTTTTTGTGTTCTCTTGTGTGTTATTGATTGTGTGCAGTCGGTGAGGTGTCTTATGATCCCCATAGGAAATTCCTCTTCTGCATTGTGCCCCTGATCTGGTTGGTGTCCGTTTCTAGGGCTGGTGCTCCTCGGGGGTGTTTCCCGTTTGCTTTCATATTTCCTTAGGTTCCTTCGCTGATCTCCCATGTCGATCAAGTTGTGTTTCTTCCTTAGGTTGTTTGGATTTGCACATGTTTATTCGACCAGGGGTGCTGTGGTGAATTCGACCCACTCCCCTGTATAATGAGTCAGT